GGTTCGGTCCAAAACGGCAGCGAGACAGGAGGTTTCTTCCGACGAGCTTACTTTCTGCTCACGCCTCCGAATTCCATGATTTTACTTGCTTTGGAACCGTGATCCAATCTTCTCCAACTTTGATGAAGCCCCTGACAACTGAATCGGACCGGAAGGTTCCCCGGACAGGCGATCATTCAGGAATATCGGATTGCTCCGGAATGAGGGCGAGACCTGTTCGTCTTCCGATTACCATATCTTTCAGCTCCGTGGTCCAAATGTCTTTTCACCATTTTTGATCATTCCAACTCCATTTCTTCGTCTGAATCACATCCTCCACTCCAAATTGGCTCCAAAAGCACCTGTTTAACACTCCAAAACATGCAAAACTCTCTCGGACCTAATGCAATCTCCTAAGTCCTAAAACAATGCCTAAAGACCTAAAATGCATGAGATAAGACATGATTTGGACTAGAATATGTATATTAAATGATGCAATTTATGAATATATCAACTCCCCCACACTTATCCTTTGCTTGTCCTCAAGCAAAAAGAACAAATGAGACAGAGAGGTTGAATGCATTGGGAGCTCATTTTTCCTTTGAAAGAGAAAAGTGACCACTAAGAGAATTCAAGTTCATGCTCAATATGCAATGCAAGACCATACTCTGATGTATCAACTCAACAGTAATCTCCACAAGTTCTCTTATTCCTCAACTCTTTGACATTCATTAAGCTCTTTACCAAGTGGATCAAATGATGCAATGTTCAAACAAGCAAAGGGTATCAATCCCTTATGTCAACGGCAAAGGCGCCAATTGATAACTAAGGTTTTTAAGTCTTAGATGGGTTATCAATCCCTTATGTCACTTGTAGTACAAAGGGTATCAATCCAAATGTGTGTTTGCTAGACACTAGTTTATGTGACAAGTTCTTAAGTCAAGCTGAATAAAAGTTGAGTCGGTGATCGCGGTCGGGAGACTTGCTGGCCGTCTTCGAGTGTCTCCAGGGCAAATGGAATATCTTGAGATCCAACCGTTGGTATGTCTCGAAACCAAGTGCATTTAAAGGCGGGTTGTTTCTTCTATAAGTTATCCAATTTTGAGGGTGATCAGACGGTGAGAAGGTCTTCGTCTCTCCATGAGAGTTCTGACGGTCTGCATTTATCCAAAAGAGTATTTTTGTTCCAATTTGTGCTTCTTTATCCCAAATTACCTGAAAAGTCTTTTAAAATCCAAAACATATAAATCTTTTGAAAACCTTTGAAAATGGAGTAAAAACACCTGGAAAAGACATTAAAGTGATCCATAAAAATGGTCAAAATCCGGTGTTATCACTAGGGTGTTTTGGTGCTAAACTAGAAATGCTAATGACAATAATGAAACATTATTCAAGTGATTTGGAATTCTAATCAAGCCTAATCTTTCTCAAGCATAAGGACACAAATCAAGCCATTTCACATACCCAATCATCATTGGAGATCAAACAACAAGACAGCATTAAGAATCAATCCCAAGTGATCATTTATGCAAATAACAAACATCATCATGGTATTAATGCATAAACCTCTAATATAACTCTTTTAGGAATTTCATCAAATACTTTTGCTGCATGAAAAACCCAGATTCTAGATCACAAGTGATGTTCAAGGATCCAACATAGAGATCAACTATTTAGAGAAATGAAAACATGGATCTAGCCCTAAGCACTCCTAATCTAGCGCTTTAGCACCCTAACCTACATATCTAGAACCTCATTAAGCAAACTACTCACTAATCATACTAATCTCTCTTAAACCTTTGCAAGTTGAGTAGATTGGCATGATTAATGATGGGAATTGAAGAGAGATGATGGATAATGATGGATTTCAGCTTTAAACACAAAAGATCCTTGATTTCTCTTGATTAAGACTCACAAAAGAAGATATCTCTTACAAAAGGGAAGTATTTCATAAAAGAGGCAAAAAAATTAGAGAGAATAAAGCTTAGTCTTGGGAAAAAAACCCTAAAACATATTTATAGTAAGTAGCTCAGACCGGGTCAACCCAGGACAAACTGGGTACTGACCCGGCTTCAAATGGGTAATGTGTCAAGTGTACGACTTGGTCAAGTGTTTCCAATCTCTCAGGCCTGAGTCGCACAGCCATGAAACGAGCTTTGTGCGCCTAAACTCCTTCAGCCTCAACTGCATGCATATCTCGGACTGTTCAGCGAACATGTGTGCTGTTCAGGTCTTCTCCTCTTCAACTCGCACAACCAAGATACATTCTGGAGAAGATATGTGTGCGAGTTGGTCTCCTTCACTCCCAAGTCGCACACCCAACTCGCACAAGTCTGGGAGCAAGATCTTGCGAGTTAAATCCTTGTAGATTAAGCCGCACTCCCTTCTCAGTCTTAACCGCGAACATACGTGCGGTTCAGGTTCTTTTGCCCTCTAACTCGCATACTCATATAGCACAGGTCTTGAAGCATGTGTGCAAGTTGGTCTCCTTCACTTCCAAGTCGCAGGCCCAACTCGGTGTAAACCGCGAACACATGTGCTACTCGGTTTCATCTCGGCCAACCCGCATGCCCAGGTCGCACAGCTTATGGATTTAGTATATTCTCAGATCGGAAATATTTACCCATTCTCAGGATTGCCTTACCCGCACATCTCCACTCACAGCTCAATTCCAGACTTCAATCTCTAAGTGCTGAGAGTTAACTAAGTCACAGAACCGTATCGCACAATCCAAGTCTTCTCGGACCACTTCACATTCAGGGCAGCGTAACTTCCAGGATATCGACCCAAATGGCTTGATTCAAATTCCATTGGAAAGAGGACTCAAACATCTCGAACATTTGTGAATATATCTTTGGCGCTTGGGGAGTGTAAGGTTCCCCGGACGGCTCATCTCTGCATTGCATTGAAACGATAAAAAACAAGTTCTTGAACAAGTGTTTACTCCGGTGATGGTATCTTTCCGAAAATAGCTCCAAACCGGATGCTCTCAGATGTTCTGGAAAGATTACTCATATACCTTGAATCTTGATGAAGGCCCCGGAAACTGGATCGGACTGGAAAGGCATCGTCCCACGCACTCTTTGTTACTCATCGGATCGGTCTTGAAACTTGAAACTGTTGTGAGACAGGTGTGTCTTCCGGTGAGCTTAACTCTCAGTTCACGACTCCAAATACAATGATTCTACCTGTTATGGAAGCGCAACTCAATCTTCTCCAACTTTTATTCAGACCCCGACATCTGAATCGGACTGGAAGCTTCCCCGGATCGGCATTCTATAACTTGTATCAGCCTAAACTGGTTTTAGCCAAGGGCTCATGTACCACAGGAAGCTTTTTGGCCGAGGTTTCGTGTTCCGCGGTGAGCTTTTTATCCAAAAAAATCCAACCCGTCTCGGCATAAAACTCAGCTGATTCCTCACTCGATCCGACATAGCTTTTATCCGACCAAAACTTCACCCAGTAAGCAATTTGGCCGATACTTCTGCGAACCAGGCACAAACATCACCCGATAAAACTTCTTCCACCCGGTACACGTTTTGGTCGATGAAAAGCTTCCCAGTAAGTGTTTTTAGCCGGTAAAATGCTTCTTCCGGTACATGCCTTAGCGGATAAACTCCAAGGTCTTGATTTCACCATTTTTGAACCTCCAGACTCCACTTCTTCACCTGGTTCACTCTCTCAACTCCTAGTAGCCTCCAAAAGCACCTAAAAGACACTCCAAACATGCAAAGACTCACTTGGACCTAATGCAAACCCCTAAGCCCTAAAACAACACCTAAAGACCTAAAATGCATGAAATAAGACATGATTTGGAATGAAATATACAAGCTAAATAATGCAAATTATGAACATATCAATGTGAAGCAAGTCGAGATGCCAAGTTTCAGTGGTGATGATCCTCTGGGTTGGTTGGCTCGTGTTTAACAATATTTCTCTTTGCAGCAAATGCTTGAAGTTCAGAAGGCTGAGATTGCCTTCATGAGTATGGAAGGGGATGCTTTGCACTGGTTACTGATATGTCTATAATTTGTATCATTTAGGCTGCATTTTAGAGTCCAAATCATGTGTTTTCTCATTCGTTTTAGGACCTTAGGCATCAAATTAGGCTTTAGGGTTTGCATTAGGTCCCAAAAAGTTTTGCATGGTTTAGAGTCTTTACCAGGTGATTTGGAGGATATTTGGAGTTCAAGAGGTGTGATCAGGAGTTGAAATGGTGAAGAAAAGGGTTAAAATAGTGAAAACCGCAAAAGGGATTTCTCGGCAAAAACACATACCGGCTGGATCAGTTTATCGGCTAAAAATGCCATCGGGTGGTTTCTATCGGCTAAAAATCAGTACCGGGTGAAAACGCTATCGGGATAAGTTTTAGGCCGAGACGGGAAATTTTTATCGGCTAAAAAGCTTACTGCGGTACACGTTTCTCGGATATTTTTCTTATTCGGCTAAAACCCGTTTTCACCTCATGCGTCAAACCCGTTTTCCTTACTGTGGGAAGAATTTTGAGCGTGAATTTTTGAGAGAAAACGTCTTTGGTCTTGGATCTTGTGTTTATGAAAAGAAATGAAGTTCTAAGGACATCTCCATCAGGAGATGATAAGGGGTTCATAAGTGGGTCCAATTTTTTTTTGGATTAAAAAATTAAAAAAGGGCTCAATCTCGATCATATGGTATCATCCGAGTGATATTGTTGAACCTGTATCACGTGAGGTTCTTCAGTCACATGTCATTTTTTCATTCGTCGTAGGGTAAGTGGGAAAAAAAATATCTCGGGCAATTTCTCGAAACATTTCTGCAATTTCTCAAAAAAATTTCTTCGGACCATTTTCTTCTCTTCAGTTTTTCGACACCAATCGCCGACACCAGAGCCGTTAATCCAGACGGGTTTCTCCGATCGTTAAGCAGGGTACGCGTTCCCTCTCGTTTTAGTATAAGATTACTCCGGAATCATCGACGCGATTGGTCTGGCCATCACCAAATTTTGCGTTGGAGATCGTGTCAGCTTCTTCGCCAATCTCAGTTCCTTCGCTCAGTTCATCGTCACCGATCAGTCTGGCCTGTTTGCTACAGAATCTCCGTCTCTCTCTGTTTTTGCTTTGCATATCTTACTGTGAATAATTGTAGCGTTTTTGATATTTTTCAGGTTCCTTGTACCAGAAAGACGCAACATGGTAGCTGTGGCTGCACTTCCAGACGCAACACGTTTGGAACTTCTCATGTAGCACTTGTTCATAGAGCTCGTCTAACATCTGGTCAGGTTAATCCAATCTCATCTCATCTCTCTGATTCAATTTTGTTTGTGAAGGTTGAGGGATTCTATTGATTTTGATGCAGGTCTTAATGGTTCTAGGCGCTGCTGGTGGCGTCGGTCTTGCAGCTGTTCAAATCGGAAAAAGCCATTGTTATTGCAGTTGCAAGGTATGTGCTGGTTCACAGGTTCACATTTGATGTTGATGTGACGAAGGATAGAAAAGTTAAGCTAATGGATTTCAATACTTGGTGTGGCTCTACGTTGCCATTGATGTATACATGTAAGAATTCTGAAAAATCTTTTTTTTTTTTCAAGTCATATATGCTTTTTTTGGTAGATATCGTGGTTGCATCTTTGGTTATCATAGTCCGTTTCATTCGACAATTATTTCATGGGATTGTGCATCTCGTTTTTTTTCTTTTGATCAATCTCTTTTCAATTCTGCCAATATTTGATCGTCGTATGTTTGTTTTCGTTTGTAGTCTTACCGTCTAGTAATCTTTGATTGTTGTCTGAACTTCAGGGAGTTCTATGCATTGGCTTTCTGAAGCGTGCTCGACAGCAGAAGGAAATTTCAAGAGAACAAGCTGTCAAGGATCTTGAGGCAAGTATTTATAGTTTATTTGCATCGAGTTTCCATTGTCTATTTGCAATATCTATCATGATATCTGATCGGAGATGGCTTCTAAATCATTGTTGACCCTTGTTGTTGCAGGAGATAGACAGACGCAGAGAAGAGTTGGAACAATTGCTCGTGGAGCATACGAGTAGAGACGACGAGGTGTGAATGTGACATTGTGACCACAAGCAAAGCTTCATTGAATGGACTACATCTGTTTCATTTTGTATTAAATGATTGTGTGAGCTCTCTGTTTTCATCCTCTCACTTGGATAATAATAACAACCAGCTTTTTTTTGGTCTACTGAAAAACGTAGTTTTGATCTTTGTCGTATAACATATTTATGTTATATGCAAATGATATCTGATCAAAGTTTTTTTTTGAATAATGAAATTTGATCAACAAAATATTTTTTTTTTTAAAATCTTAAGAACTCTCAGAAGAAGTTCAGGATTGGATGAGAATAAAAACATGGAGTTTTTAACTATTCACTAATCAAAAAAAAAATAATAAAGAAGGCTATGAACCCCAAGTAGAGATTCTGGGATGGAGATGGCTTAAGTGTCTTAAAGAAGGTGTCTAACCTCTGAGTGAAAAGAAAAGAAAAGAAGCCAAAACGGCTCAAGTGTTTTAAAAAAAGAGAAAGTGAGAGGTTAGATGACCAAAATTGTGAAGAAAGAGCTAAATGTGAAAAGAAGATCCCAAGCAGAGAGTCTTAAAGAAAGGAAACCCTTTTTGAGAGATGAGAGCGAGTGAAAAGAGAGTTTTGAGGTTGATTTTGAGAGTGTGTGAGTTAGAGTGTCTTTGTGTAAGGGAATTTAGCTGAGACTTGCTTTCTATGCGCCCATTGCTCTTTACCTTTAGCATTCTGCCGAAGCTTTGATCGTTCATAGAGAGATCCTTGATTGTTTTGAACCTTGCTTGTGCATTGCATTTGAATGAGATCATTTTCATCTCATAGCCTCACCCTTAGCCAAGCATTTCTCACTAGAACTTGCATCACTAGATTCACCTGGTAAACGCTTAATGAATGTCAAAGGGTCGTGTGAAAAAAAGAACTTGTGGAGATCGTTTGTTGAATTTTGAGGGTCAAAGTAGAGTCTTGCATTGCACATGGAATTGACAACTTGGAATCTGAGTCTCTTTGTGATTGTATCTCTATTCCATAAGGAATATGAACTCTCGTTGCATCCAACCTCTTTTTCTCATTAGCTCTTTTTGTTGAGGACAAGCAAAGGACAAGTGTGGGGGAGTTAATATGTCTATAATTTGCATCATTTAGGCTGAATTTAAGAGTCCAAATCATGTGTTTTCTCATTCGTCACGAATGCAAGAAGGAAGTTTAAGTTTGATGCAAATGGACCTGTGACCTCAAGGTTGTGAGCCTTGCGAGCTACCAAACTGCTCTACCTAACTGAGCTATAGCCCTTGTGTTTGTGATACACATTTTATCTTATCATGTAGATAATTTCTTGTCAGATTAATATTACATGATCGAACTCTTTGATTCGTTGTTTATTGGTATTGCTTAGAAATAATATTGGATTTATAATCCTATCGATGTGATAGGTATCCCTTTTCCTTCTCTTTACGATGATAAATAACCTTAGGACCTTAGGCATCAAATTAGGCTTTAGGGTTTGCATTAGGTCCCAAAGAGTTTTTCATGGTTTAGAGTGTTTACCAGGTTCTTTGGAGGATATTTGGAGTTCAAGAGGTGTGATCAGGAGTTGAAATGGTGAAGAAAAGGGTTAAAAATAGTGAAAACCGCAAAAAGGGATTTCTCGGCAAAAACACGTACCGGCTGGATCAGTTTATCGGCTAAAATTTCCATCAGGTGGTTTCTATCGGCTAAAAATCAGTACCGGGTGTAAACGCTATCGGGAGAAGTTTTAGGCCGAGACGGATAATTTTTATCGGCTAAAAATCTTACCGCGGTACACGTTTCTCGGATATTTTCCTTACCGCGGGAAGCATTTCTCGGCTAAAACCCGTTTTCACCTGCGCGCGTCAAAGATTGCAAATCCAGGGAATCTTTTAGTCCGAATCAGTTAACGGAGTCTTCATCAAAGTCGGAGATAATCAAGCCAAGTATGGTTTGTTTGTTGAAGATCCAAATCCTGGGGACAATTCGTCTGATGAAAACTCAGAACCAATAACCAAGAGCATATCTAGAGAGAGACTGATCGAATTTAACAAATTTGTGAAGTCTATTCCTCTCTATCTCGGATTCGATGACATGTGGAAGCAAGGCTGCCTTCAAGTCTTCTTCAGATACAGCAAAGAGACTAAGGAGAACATCTCTACCTATTTCAAAAGAGCCAGGTATCTATCTTTTCGTAGATCATCACCTGATGAAGCTGTTTACAGGATCCTTCTCAAAGATCCCCAAAAAGCCAGTGACTACACAAAAAAGATCAGCAAAGAAGCACTTGAAGAGTTCAATCAAGTAGTTCAGACTCTGCCCAAAGGAATATCATTTGCCAAAGTATGTAGAGACTACATGATCAGCCACTTCTTCTGTGACATCAAAGAATCTATCCAAGAGATGAAAGACTTGTTCACACACGCCCAAGAAACTAGACCAGTTCGAACTCTGAACAAAGTTCAAGACAAATGTCAATTTCTTATCTCTTGTGACATTAGAGGTGAAAGATTCTTCAATATTCTTTGTGATTCTGGAGCTTGCATTAACATGATGTCCAAAACAACTGCTTTGATATTTGGCATTAAGCACATTTCAAGTACCAGGACAAAGATTAGCTTAGCAGATGATTCAAGTGTAATACCAAGAGGGATAGCCCGAGACATTCCTTTAAGGATTGGAGATTGCATAGCACCGGTCGATCTAGACATAGTGAAGACCAAAGATGACTCATATCCAGTTATCCTTGGATGGCCTTTCTTAGCAACTGCTGGAGCCATCATGGATTGGCCCAACCGGAGAGTTTCTTTTGCAAATCGATAAGGACATCTTTTATGAAGAATCAAAAGAGGAGAGCATAAAGCCCATGCATTTGAACCAGAAGAACTCTACAGTGATGAAGAACCTGCTAGACAGAACAGGAGGATTTCGAAAAGGACTTGTCTTAGGACAAGATCCTATTTGAACTAAGTCTTTAAACTTGCAAAGTCTAGCTAAAGACTATAAACCAAAGCGCTTGATGGGAGGCAACCCATTTAGGTACTTATTTTATTTTTGTTTAGCTTTCTTTTTCTATTAAAGTTTTGTTTTTCTTATTTTAGACAGGCCCTAGTATGCCTCACAAAATAAAAAAAAAATAAATGGGAGCTGACCGCGACCAAAGGAGGTTCAGCCGCGGCCAACAAGCATTTTACCGCGGCCACAAGGCCTTTAACCGCGGCCAGCACGCGTCCTACCGCGGCCGGGACATCACTACAAGAAAACAATCGTTTTCCAACGGTCCATTACGGCGGTTTTCAAATCGTCGCAAACTTACAACGAGTTTACGACGATCTTACGTCTAATTTAAAAACCGTCGTAAAACCGTCGTATAAAAAAATCGTCGTAAACTCGACGTACAATTTACGACGAATTACGATGATTATACATCGATAACGAGAGATTTGCTAGTAAATGTAAAATCATCGTAAACAAACAAACCATACTCTTCATCAAACCGACAAAGATCTCCCTTGTTTTGGCTGACAGATCAGTGAGGTTACCGATTGGCTTACTTGAGGATCTACCTTTGAGGATTGGTAAAATAGAGATCCCCACAGATTTCATAGTTCTAGAGATGGATGAGGAACCTATTGATCCCATCATCTTGGGGAGACCCTTCTTAGCGACACCAGGAGCGATCATTGACGTGAGAGGAGGATGATCGAGCTGCACATCGGTTCTGAAACCATGAAGTTCGATGTGAAGGAAATGATGAAGAAACCGACCATTGGAGGTCAGGTTTTCTATATTGAAACCATGGAGGAGCTAGCTGATGAGCTCCTTGAAGAGTTAAACGCAGAAGACCCTTTACAAGTGGTCTTGACACGGGTACAAAGCGAGCACGGGTTCTCGAATGAGGAAAGCGAGGTGTACAAGCGTTTCTTGGATCAGCCGAGAGAACTTGAAGCTGATACAAGGAGCTCAGGCAGAGTTGTCTCGGTAATTTGGACATCAGAGGGTCCAAGACTGTCGGGAGACACCTCGGGGTATCATGGCCGCGACATCTGATGCCGAGGGCAGTGTTAAACCACGAGAGAAGGCAAATGCCGAGGGAGCTGTCGCGAAGCAATGCAGCTTCAATGATGATTGGAACGAGGCTGATGCACCCCCTGTTGAGCTCAAGCCTCTACCAACAGGGCTTAGGTACACTTTCTTAGGCTCAAACTCTTCATATCCCGTAATCATCAATGATAACCTGTCAGATCATGAAGAACATGCATTGCTTAGCGAGCTTAGAAAGTTCAGGAGAGCAATATGGTATTCTTTAGCCGATATTAGAGGCATCTCTCCTGACATATGTACCCACATGATCCACCTAGAAGACCAGACTATGTCTTCTATTGAGCATTAAAGACGTCTTAACCGGAACCTTAAGGAGGTGGTTAAGAAGGAGATACTCAAGCTTCTAAAGGCAGGGATAATATACCCAATTTATGACTCAAGATGGGTATCTCCTGTTCACGTGGTGCCCAAGACAGGTGGTATCACGGTGGTAAAGAATGAAAAGGATGAGTTAATAGCCCAAAGAACCATCACCGGTCATCGCATGTGCATTGATTATAGAAAGCTTAACTCTGCATCTAGAAAAGATCATTTTCCATTGCCGTTCATATACCAAATGCTTGAGAGGCTAGCTAACCATCCTTACTTCTGTTTTCTTGATGGGTACTCGAGTTTCTTTCAAATCCCCATAGATCCCCGAGACCAAGATAAAACTACATTTACATGCCCTTATGGCACTTACGCATATAGACGCATGCCCTTTGGCCTTTGTAATGCACCTGCAACCTTTCAAAGGTGCATGATGCACATCTTTTCTGATCTCATTAAAGAGAAAGTGGAGGTGTTTATGGACGAATTTTCCATCTATGGCTCCTCTTTCTCCGATTATCTTTCTAACTTGTCTCAGGTTTTAAAGCCATGTGAAGAGCACAAGCTTGTCTTGAATTGGGAAAAATGTCACTTCATGGTTCAAGAGGGCATCGTGTTGGGTCACAAGGTCTAGGAGAAGGGTATAGAAGTCAATAAGGCAAAGATAGAGGTCATGGTGAATCTACAGCCTCCGAGTTCAGTCAAGGGTATAAGAAGCTTCTTGGGGCACGCCGGCTTCTACATGAGGTTCATCAAGGACTTCTCAAAGATAGCCCGGCTGTCAACAAGGCTTCTTTGCAAAGAGGTTGAGTTCTTAATCGATGATGAATGCATGGAGGCGTTCTTAAAGATCAAGGAGGCTCTAGTCAGTACACCGATTGTTCAGGCTCCCGATTGGTCTTTGCCATTTGAGGTGATGACAGATGCATCAGACTATGTCGTGGGAGCAGTCTTGGGGCAGAAAAAAGACAAAAAGCTTCACGTGATATATTACGCAAGCCGCACATTGGACTCAGCTCAAGAGAAGTATGCAACCACTGAGAAAGAAATGTTGGCCATTGTATTTGCGTTTGATAAGTTCAGAAGCTAGCTTGTGGGATCAAAGGTCATAGTTTACACGGATCACGCAGCTTTGAGGTACCTCATGACAAAGAAAGATGCTAAGTCGAGGCTTCTTAGATGGGTTCTTTTGTTACAAGAATTTGATATGGAGGTCCAAGACAAGAAGGGTATTGAGAATGGAGCTGCCGACCATCTCTCAAGGTTAAGAGTTGAATCAAAAGTACCTTTAGATGATGCTTCACCCGAAGAGCACCTGATGTTAGTCAAATCTTACTTGGAGGTAGAGGAGGCCAATACTATCTGAGAAAGAAGCCTCCCATGGTTCGCGGATCTTGTGAACTACCTCTCATGTGGTTTAGAGCCACCTGAACTAGATTCTTACCAAAGGAAAATGTTCTTTAGAGATGTGATGAGGTATCATTGGGATGAGCCGTATTTATATGTGCTTAACAAAGACCATCTCTATAGAAGGTGCTTATCTGAAGAGGAGATTCACCCTGTGTTACAAGAGTGCCACGGTTCCGCATATGGTGGGCACTTAGGGGCTTTCAAGACGGTGGCCAAGGTTTTACAAAGTGGGTTTTGGTGGCCGACAATGTTTAAAGATGCTCAGAGTGCTGTCACAAGGTGTGAGTCATGTCAGAGGCACGGTAACATATCCCAGAGGAGTGAAATGCCTTCGTCGTGTAGGCTACTTAGCTTATCAAAGTAGACTTCGTCGTGTAGTCTACTAATGTTCTTTTCGGGAGAAGTCTACTCTTGATACAAAAAGTTTGTATGCAGTGTTTGCTAATATGGTTTATATGGTTATTTTTTTCAGAGAATGGCTCAAATTCCAGTTGTGTACGGGGAATGGAAGATTGAGGAGAATTCATGGCATTTTGTTGTTGACATGGGCAAAGGTGGAAGAATATGGTTTTTAAACGATGGTTGCACCTTGGAAGAGCTTACTGAGATGGCGCGAGATGATTATAACTTGGGCAAGAAGACTGAGCTCATCGAGTTAACCTACTCACTACCAGACTCAATGTTGCAAACTATGGCTCCAGATACACCTCCAATGCATGTCACCAATGACAGACAAGTTTCAAGCTTGATTGCGTTAAGCAGAGTGCATATGGTACGTCTTTCTGTGTCCAGTCGACTGGAGATGGATACTGAGGAGAACCAGAAAGGATCAGATGAAGATTTAGGTGAGGAGTCTGAGGAAAATTCAGAACATTCTACCGATGATGAGGCAGCCAGTTCTGATGTGAACGAGGATGGAGAAGAAGTGGAAGATGCAGCTTACTCTGACGGAGAAGATTACAGTGTCTACGGTAAAGTAAAAGATGAAGATGATGATGAAGATGAAGTCTGTATTGATAATGTCAGAAACAGATATAGTGAAACAGGAAGCACGCCCATCTCATGGTCTGATAACATATATGTTAGGGCAAATTTCCCTACAAAGGACAAGCTGTTACAGAGGTTAGATTGACTGCGATAATGTTAAAATTTTCTTTTAAAACAGAGAAGTCTACGAAAACCGTGTTTGTGGCTAAATGTCGAGTGGAAGGATGTGCTTGGATGGTTAGAGCGGGTGTGAAGAATGATGCATCCACGTTTTGGGTGACAAAATATGTGAAAGACCACACATGTTCAATAGGCCAGCAAATGGCTCAGCGTGGGAAGCTGTTTATAAGCCATTTGGGCATCATTGATGGTCTTACACCACAACATGTCAAGGATTCAATGAAGCATATGTTTGGCATCAAGATGGATTACACTACTTCATACAAATCTTTGACATATGCCCAACAATTGGTCAGGGGAACAGCTGAAGATAGATATGCGAGTCTCCCAGCTTACCTACATTCAGTTAACAAAGCCAATCCGGGAACTGTATCAGCTCTTCATGTAGATTCAATTAACAAATTCAAATATCTATTTCTCGCATTTAGAGCATCGATTGCCGGTTTTCAGTACATGAGAAGAGTTATTGTGGTGGATGGATGTCATCTAACATGGAAATACGAAGATACTTTGTTGGTGGCCACCACACAAGATGGAAACTTTCAGATTTTTCCTCTGGCCTTTGGAATTGTTGATAGTGAAGATGATGCTTCATGGGAATGGTTTTTTTCTAAACTGCGTGAATGTGTCTCAGATGGTTATCCTTTGGTGATAGTTTATGACAGACATCTTTCTGTTAAAAAAGCTTGTCAAACTGTTTTCCCATGGGCAAAACGAGGGATATGCTACTATCATCTACAACACAACATAGTAACAAAGTTTAAGGGGAAGCAGTTGTTGTACTTGGTCAAACGTGTGGCTTATGCTTACAACATCTATGACTACAACATATACATGGCGGAGTTAAGACAGATCAAGCCTGAGCTTGCTGACTATTTGGAAGAAGCCGATGTCTCCCTTTGGTCCCGAGTTCATTTTTTTGGAGACAAATACAATATTAAGACTAGCAATGTCGCAGAGTCTATAAATGCTGCACTTAATAAGGCCCATGGCTATCCCATATCATTCCTCTTGGATTTCATACGAGAGAAGCTCGGTCGATTGTTTTTAAAATGCAGAGAGGATGCTTTGAGTCTCACAACACATAATACTCGGGGAGTGGAGTATTTTCTGGCGATTCATGGACATTATGCAGATGCAATGGAGGTGGACCGAATTGACACTTGGAGATACTATGTGAAAGGAGTAACCAGGAATTGTATTGTTGATTTGGAACATGCAATGTGTGAATGTGGTGTGTTTTATATCGAGAAAATCCCATGTTCACATGCTATTTCAGCTGCATTAGCCGGTGGGATAGCTGTGGATTCCCTTGTATGTCCTACTTACTCGAAAAACTACTTGTTTGCTGCATACTCCGCCAACATATATCCCCAAATTTCAGAGGTCCAAGGAGTCCAACTATCAATATGTCTGCCACCAGACATTCGCCGCAAACCAGGCAGACGGAAGAAGTTTCGGTGGCAATCATGACTAGAAATTTCTAGGAGGAAAAGCAAGAAGCCAAGGAAGCTGCACAAACTATACAGCTGCTCACAATGCAAGCAACCTGGTCATACCCTACCGAATTGTGTAAGTTGAGCTAAACTCATCTAATAATGTCTTATACAATATTAACAGATTTATTTACTACACTTTATGTCTCTCACTTAGACGTCGAAGATTCACCAGGACAATAACAAGAAGGCTCCGAAATAAAAGGACAAAGCTGCTATTGTTTTCCGGAAGTCTACTTTGGAAGTCTACTATCGAAGTCTACTATGTAAGTGATATTTTGTTAACGGTTAGATTTGAAACGACTTTATTTAAGAAACTGCTTTAACGACTTTAACGGTGCATATAACCGTCGAATCTGTTTGTCTTTGTTATTTCTATTTATGAATTCTCGATGACCATGAATTATAGTTTCATTCCAGTCCCTAGAAGATGTCCAACCTGATAAATGATATGATCATGGACAGCACTAAAGACATAGAGCTAGAACCTGAGGAAGGAAAGCTTGTAGCTGAGGAGCTTGTAGCTGAGCAAGAGGAGGCTTTAGTCATTCCGAATGGCCCCATGACAAGATCAAGGTGAAAGAAGCTTAAGGAGGATATAGGAGGAGTTCTAAGGCAAGCACAATACTCGGCTCAAGAGGGAAAAGAGTTCAACACAAATACTTTGGTTGTGATCCAAGTCCTAGAAGCTTATTGGACTTGTGATCCAATCTTGTACTCTTTTTCCCCACCACTAGTTTTGTCCCAATGGGTTTTCTAGTGATGGGTTTTTAATGAGGCAAGGTTGGATCACCCTTTCAATAAGGTCCACTAAGTTTATCCCAAGAGATTCGGCCAAGAGAAGAGGAGCGTGAGAAGACATTTGAATTCAACTTAAACAGCTCACACTTGTATTTCCTAAGTATGCATATTGATGGCCGAGACTCTCTTCTATCCTTTATATTCTCTTGTAATCTCATTTGAGAAACCATCTTTCTTTATCTAAAAACCTTTCTAAAGTAAAGATCATTTGTTCTTTGAACATCTTAGTTTGTGAGTGTATCATATCTCTCAAACACCCGATTCTTAGGTGTGTAATATCCTCAGAATCAAACCGGTAAATCAAAGGTCTTCCGCAGCCTTTGTGCGACCCCTCGATCCATTCCTTTGGGCCTCAGTTTGTTACCATTTCAGAAGTTAAAGCTTATTAAATCCAGTCTCTAGAGTGCCGATTCAGGGAGGTTCATATTAAGTGGTATTAGAGCCAGGTTCTAGTCACTGGAGAAGCGATTTCATCAGGTTGTTTCTATCCATTTCATTTTCGATCTCATATTCTTAGATCTATCACGTCCACATATAGATCCAGTGTTTATGATTGTATCGTCAAGTTTCATCAGTAAATCATTGTGTCTTTTAAACTTTTATCATCGATTTACATCATCGGCAATATCTGTGTAAGTTCAAATGAAAACCGATCATATTCTAGGGTTTTAGGTTTCGTGAGGAACACGAAGAGTCAATCTTTGCACTTAATCAAGTTTGGAACAAATCTCTAGTGATCTGTTTGTCTTTGGTCTCAGGAACTATGCAGATCAACACGAGGAGACCAGTGGTAATGGTTTCAATAAACTAATGATGGAAGCCATGATGGCCGAGATGAAGAAACTCATGACCTCTCAACTTGAAGAATTCAGACAAGAGATGCAACAACATCATTCTGATTCGAGATCAAACAAAGAATTGAGGAGAAGAGATCATGGAAAAGAAAAGGTTCAAGATCCAAATAAGAGCACCAGAGATGAGGAGGCCGATATATACTATGGCCAAGAGAGCAGCTCGTCTAGAGGTAGTAGAGGAAAGCATAGGCGAACTAAAGAAGATAAAGCTACGGTTCCAGATGGTTTGGGAGGCCTTAAGCTACGCATTCCTCCATTTCACGGCAAGAATGATCCTGATGCGTACCTAGACTGGGAAAAAATTGAGTTGGTCTTCAATTGTCAACACTATACTGAGATAAACCGAGTTAAGGTGGCAGCGACAGAGTTCTACGACTATGCACTAAGCTGGTGGGATCAAATTGTGACTTCTACAAGGCGTAATCAGCAGTATCAGGTTGAATCTTGGTCTGAAATGAAATCTTTGCTGAGAAAGAGGTTTGTGCCGAGTCATTATCACCGGGAGCTACATCAACGGATCAGGAGACTCAGCCAAGGCAACCGTACAGTGGAAGATTATTATCAAGAACTGGAAACTCTAATGTTGCGAGCTGAGATTACTGAAGATGGTGAGGCTACAATGTCTAGATTCTTGGGAGGACTGAACCGAGAAATCCAAGATCGGCTAGAAATGCAACAATACGAAGAAATCGAGGAGATGCTACATAAAGCGATCTTGATCGAACAACAGCTCAAAAGAAGGCATCCGGTTAAAACTAGCTATGGAGTTGGTATTCCCACTAAAGCCAACTATCCAAAGGAAGAAAAGCCGAGTTACCAAAGAGATAACAAGACAGCGATGAATCCAAAATCAGATGCCAAGCCACCGGTAATAACTCAAGACCACAAGAGCAAGCCAGAAGCTACAACAATTCGTTCTAGAGACGTCCGATGTTTCAAGTGTCACGGTCGAGGACATTACGCGAATGAGTGCTCCAACAAGAGGGTAGTAGTCCTCTTAGACAGTGGAGAAATTGAGTCAGAAGAAGAAAAGCTAGACGACTCTGAATCTAATGAGGAGTATGAGGCTATCCCGGCTAGTGGAGAGTTACTTGTAGCTCGGAGGACCCTAAACATTCAAAGTAAAGAAGAAGAGCAAGAGCAAAGAGAAAACTTGTTTTATACCCGTTGTCTGGTCCAAGGCAAAGTCTGTAGCCTCATTATTGATGGAGGAAGCTGCACCAACGTGGCTAGTGAGGAGATGGTCAGTAAACTTGAACTAAAGATGACCAAGCATCTGAAACCCTACAAGTTGCAATGGCTTAATGAAACCGGGGAAATGAAGGTTCAGAAACAAGTCTTGGTGCCTATTTCTATTGGGAAATATGAAGATGAGGTTCTGTGCGACGTGCTAGCAATGAAGGCTGGACATATTCTTCTTGGAAGACCTTGGCAATCAGATAGAAACGTTTTACATGACGGCTTTACTAATAAGCATTCTTTTGTTTTCCATGGCAGGAAAATCACATTGATTCCTTTAACACCGCAAGAGGTATATCAGGATCAGGTCCAAATGAAGCAAAAAGAGAAGCCACCTAAGAAATCCTCTAAGTTCTTCCTACGGGCTGGTGACGTTAAGAAAGCTCTCGTTTTAAAGCAACCTATCCTACTATTTGTGTTTAAAGAAGCCCTTACAAATATCACTGACCTGACACCGGCTCTGCCGAGTAAAATGAATGATCTTTTGCAGATATATCAAGATGTTTTTCCTGAGGATAATCCAAAAGAGTTGCCATCCATTAGAGGCATAGAACATCAAATTGACTTTGTGCCCGGTGCATCATTGCCTAATAGGCCTGCGTATAGGACCAATCCTGTGGAAACTAAGAAGCTACAAAGGCAGGTGAATGAGCTGATGGAGAAGGGACATATCAGGGAGAGTATGAGCCCTTGTGCCGTACCTGTGCTACTTGTGCCCAAAAAGGATGGGAGCTGGCGCATGTGTGTCGATTGTAGGGCGATAAACAATATCATGGTGAAGTATCGACACCCCATTCCTAGGCTTGATGATATGCTAGATGAATTACATGGTTCTAGTATCTTTTCTAAGATAGACTTAAAAAGTGGCTATCATCAAATTCAGATGAAAGAAGGGGATGAATGGAAAACTGCATTTAAAACTAAGCATGGGCTATATGAGTGGCTTGTTATGCCATTTGGGTTAACTAATGCACCTAGTACATTCATGAGATTAATGAATCATGTGCTTAGAGCGTTCATAGGAGTTTTTGTGGTCGTGTATTTTGATGACATCCTAGTTTATAGCAAAAACTTGGAAGAGCATATTGTTCATTTGAAATCTGTGCTAGATGTGCTTAGGAAAGAAAAGCTTTACGCAAATTTGAAGAAGTGCACGTTTTGTACAGATAACCTTGTGTTTTTAGGATTTGTGGTGAGTGCAGATGGCATCAAAGTAGATGAGGAAAAGGTTAAAGCAATTCGGGAATGGCCAACCCCTAAGAGCATTGGAGACGTAAGGAGCTTTCATGGTCTCGCAGGTTTTTATAGGAGGTTTGTCAAAGATTTTAGCACTCTAGCTGCGCCTCTCACTGAGATCATCAAGAAAGATGTGGGATTCAAGTGGGGATCAGCACAAGAAGAAGCTTTTACGGTCCTAAAGGATAAGCTCAACCATGCCCCTTTACTCGTTCTTCCTGATTTCCTTAAAACATTTGAGATAGAGTGTGACGCCTCTGGTATAGGCATTGGTGCAGTTTTGATGCAGGATAAGAAGCCTATAGCCTTCTTTAGTGAGAAACTCGGGGGATCCACTTTAAACTATCCAACTTATGACAAGGAACTATATGCTTTAGTTCTGGCTCTTCAAACATGGCAACACTATTTGTGGCCCAAGGAATTTGTCATACACACCGATCACGAGTCTCTTAAACATTTGAAGGGACAACAAAAGCTTAATAAAAGACACGCTAGATGGGTTGAGTTCATCGAAACCTTTCCTTATGTCATTAAGTATAAGCAAGGTAAGGACAATGTTGTAGCGGATGCATTGTCTCGCAGGTATACTCTACTCTCTATTCTTGATGCTAAGTTGATTGGTTTTGAGCAGTTAAAGCATATGTATGCTTCTGATACTGATTTTAAAGAGATTTACCAAGCTTGTGAAAAGTTTGCTAGTGGCCGATACTTTAGATAAGAAGGATTTCTTTTCTTTGATAATCGCCTGTGTATTCCTAACTGTTCTATTCGAGATTTGCTAGTCAGGGAAGCTCATGGAGGTGGCCTCATGGGGCATTTTGGGATTGCTAAAACCATGAAATTAATGCAAGACCATTTTCATTGGCCACACATGAAGAGAGACGTGGAAAGGATCTGTGCAAGGTGCTCAACATGTAAACAGGCTAAGTCCACACTTAAGCCTCACGGTTTGTATACCCCTTTACCTATACCTTCGCATCCTTGGAACGATATATCCATGGACTTTGTGCTTGGATTACCTAGAACTAGGACTGGCAAAGATTCGATATTTGTTGTGGCTGATAGGTTCTCTAAAATGGCACATTTCATAGCATGCAACAAAACTGATGATGCATCACATGTAGCTCATGTGTTCTTTAAAGAAATCGTAAGATTGCATGGTATGCCTAGGTCCATTGTGTCTGATAGAGATACCAAGTTCTTAAGTTTCTTTTGGAAAACCCTATGGTCTAAGTTAGGCACTAAATTATTGTTTTCAACTACTTGTCACCCTCAAACTGATGGACAAACCAAAGTAGTTAATAGAACCCTATCTACATTGTTGCGAGCTTTGATTAGAAAGAATCTCAAAACTTGGGAAGATTGTTTGCCACATGTCGAATTTGCATATAATCATTCTGTTCATTCTGCCTCTAAGTTTTCTCCATTTCAAATTGTCTATGGCTTAAATCCTTTATCTCCCTTGGATCTAATTCCTTTACCTCTAAGTGGACGAGAAAGTGTAGATGGCATAAAGAAGGCTGAACTGATAAAGCAGATTCATGAGAAGGCTAGAGCTAACATAGAGGAGAAGACAAAGCAGTATGTTAAACATGCCAACAAAGGTCGTCGCAAGCTAGTCTTTGAAGAAAGAGACCTCGTGTGGGTGCACTTAAGAAAAGAAAGATTTCCAGCCGAAAGGAAATCTAAGCTCATGCCAAGAGTTGATGGCCCTTTTCAAATCACAAAAAAGATTAATGATAATGCGTATCATATTGATCTCAAAGGTAAGTATAAAGTGAGTCCGAGTTTTAATATTTCTGACTTAGCTCCTTTTTATGCAGATGATCCAGATTTGAGGTCAAATCCTTTTCAAGAAGGGGAGGATGATATGATCATGGACAACACTAAAGACATAGAGCTAGAACCTGAGGAAGGAAAGCTTGTAGCTGAGGAGCTTGTAGCTGAGCAAGAGGAGGCTTTAGTCATTCCGAATGGCCCTATGACAAGATCAAGGACCAAGAAGCTTAAGGAGGATATAGGAGGAGTTCTAAGGCAAGCACAATACTCGGCTCAAGAGGGAAAAGAGTTCAACACAAATACTTTGGTTGTGATCCAAGTCCTAGAAGCTTAGTGGACTTATGATCCAATCTTGTACTCTTTTCCCCCACCACTAGTTTTGTCCCAATGGGTTTTCTAGTGATGGGTTTTTAATGATGCAAGGTTGGATCAGCCTTTCAATAAGGTCCACTAAGTTTATCCCAAGAGATTCGGCCAAGAGAAGAGGAGCGTGAGAAGACATTTGAATTCAACTTAGACAGCTCACACTTGTATTTCCTAAGTATGCATATTGATGGCCGAGACTCTCTTCTATCCTTTATATTCTCTTGTAATCTCATTTGAGAAACCATCTTTCTTTTATCTAAAAACCTTTCTAAAGTAAAGATCATTTGTTCTTTGAACATCTTAGTTTGTGAGTGTGTCATATCTCTTAAACACCTGATTCTTAGGTGTGTAATATCCTCAGAATCGAACCGGTAAATCAAAGGTCTTCCGCAGCCTTTGTGCGACCCCTCGATCCATTCCTTTGGTCCTCAGTTTGTTACCATTTCAGAAGTTAAAGCTTGTTAAATCCAGTCTCTAAAGTGCCGATTCAGGGAGGTTCATATTAATAAACTTCAACTCTCTCCCTTCCGATATTCTGTGGGATATCCTCTTATTAATCACATATCATTCGTACAGTGCTCTCAGTAAAGCTAGGGTTGTTTCCAAAAATCTAAATGAGATTTCTAATGAAGAGGGTTTATTAAGAATCGTTGATCTAATAACATTGAACATTCCATGGGTCTGGGATCAACATGGAAGGGTTGACGCATTCTTTAGGCGCTGTTTGGAGTGTAGGAATCCTACATCGCAATTCCTGCGAGGCGTTTCTCTAATCTTCTATGAATCCAGCATCCAAGCAGGGTTTGATTTAATAAAGGTGTCATCAAATGGAGGATGCCTCATGGCTACGTACTCCAAGGTTATGTTCTCTTAAACCATGGATGGCAGCTATGATGTATTTAACCACATTCATGGTCTACTTCCGGCAGAGGCAACAAAGATGAGGAAGACTATGCAGCATATCAACAGGTCTCCGTGTACTTATAAGAAGCCTCACGAGTTTCACGAACCGGTCTTCCAGGTTTTTGCTAAGGCACAATCAAGGAGTTGTGCTTGTATGAATCTGCCAAACCAGCGCTGGATAAATGATGAAAGCCTTGTCGACTTATATGGTGACAAACTATGCAGTCCTTGCTTCTGGAAGTTGGAATGTGCCATATTCTGGAAAACAATTCCTGGATTTGCAAATGAATGGCCGCGTTGAAATTAGTTGACTCCTTTTTTCATGTTTTTGTGTTTACTTCTATGTTTATTTGACATTAGTAGACTTATGTAGTAGACTTCGTTTGTAGACTTATATTTATTGTAAGCAATATATTTATGAGTTCTACTAAACTTTTTCTGCAGACACTATCAGTAGTCCATATTCAATAATATTTCACAGGATTCAGTGTTACGTAGAGAATCGAAAGTTATAAATACAAACATGTTAATTACTTAGTAAACTTCAGTACAATTACAATTACAACTTAGTAGACATCAGTCATAGACTTCAGTCGTAGACTTCAGTACAATTACAATATCTTAAACGAAATTACAACATATTTGGCATTTTAATTATATGGTAGGTGGCCAAAAAACTTCCACACCTATCATCTACCAATTGCTAAAATGACCTGCAATCACATTGAAGGTAATTTATGCAAGTAGCCCAAAAGTTGCCATAAAAAACAAAGTTAGTTTTAAATACGGATACCCTAAACTTTCTTATCATAAAGATCCAGCCCGGTTGCATCTAACTTATCATGGCCCTTAGCACCTATTTCGTCAAAGATCTCTGCAGCCATTTTCTCCCTGATTAGTCGCATGTTTTTATCACAAAGTTACGGAGGAAATGGCAAATCCAAAGCATGACACTCGATGTACTTCAGGCAGTAAACTCCGCAATAACCACTCTAATTGTTTTGAGGTATCTCCGTACCTGGTACTCGCGAATGTGTGAAAGGCTTGTAGGGGAATCTCCGCTTGTCTTCATTAGGTGCACAGGTCTGAAAGAAGGTAGGGTATCATAACAGCCAGAGGCTCCACAGCTTCGTCAATTTGGGCGTCAGATGCATGTTTGGTTCCCGCATGACTGTCCCATATTGTGATATGCCTCGTCACAAATGAAACCCAGATAGCTACCCAATGGTCCCCCGTGATGTGCAACATTGAGTACAAATGGTCGACTTCATAGGCCCATGTCTTTTTAGTCTGGCAGTAGATAGGTAATTCGCCTGTGAAGTACGAATACGCTCCAGGTGGTAGAAGTTTGCCAGAACCATCTTCATTCGGCTCAGAGTTTTTGAAATCATTGTAGTCACGCCTTCAAACCGTAGCAAACATGGAGTTCAGGAAGCAAATCCGGTCGGATACAAACCACTCCGGATGCTTGGATAATCGCAGCCTGAGCAAGTTAATATAAGCTTCCATGTGCTGCACATTGATGAAAATAAGACATGAGTGAAGTCTGCAAACGCGGTCTACTACAGAAGTCTACATATTAGGTCTACATATGAAGTATATCTATGAAGTCTACTACCAAAGATTAAAACACAAACCGTATCAGCTAGCCATTTCTTCGGTGTCCGTAAAGTGTAATACCAGTCGATCGAAGAGTGTTTTGGACGTCTTGGATAGGCACTGTATAAGTGAACAAGTCAGACAGGAAAATAAGATAATGATGAAGTCTACTTACATAAGTATAGAAGTCAACTTACATAAATAGAAGCCTACTTACGGGTTTGATTTCACAAAGTTCATTAGAGTAGTATGCTTCTCCTTAACACCGGTTTGATCGAAAGGATCATATCCATGGACACGGCGGGAGTGAGATGCCAACGTTGGAATGATCGCCTTTGCGGTGCTATTTCCTAAGAAAGGACTCTTCTTTGTTGCAGCCAGTTGTTGGTTTCTGGCACTCGTTGCTCGGGCAACTATCTGAGCCGCTGCTCTAGCTTTAGTATTTTTGGCAAGTGCAACTGCGTCGAAGTTAACATCACACGTCTTCGGGTCAACTTCATAAACGCTTGCCTCGGGGGCCTCTTCTTCCTTCAAGGCAGCCTTCTTTCCTTTTGCATCCCCGAGGGCATTAACACTCTCACTCGCACCAATGTTCATATTATCTTTCATCGGAGCATCTTCTTTCTCTGAATTACTATGCAGTTTATTGTCACAAACAGGCATGAATATACAAAAAACAACACCATTGCTATAATTTAGTAACATGTTTCATTATAGTCTGGAAATTGGAAACACAATTTTTTTAAAACATAAGTAAATAATCTCACACGTTACATAGCATTATTAAACATGTTCGAATTCAAATGACATTAGTATTAAGTGTTCCTATCTTTGCGTGATCTTGTTTGCATGAAATGTTTTCGTATAGGCGGAGGGTTTTTGGTACTAACCCCTTCATGCTTCTTGGATCCAGTGACCTGCTGCTGGGTTGGCTCTACATTGTCTTTAACCTCTTCCTCAGTGTGCTTCACCGACCCTGTAGTCAACTCCTCTACCGCGCGCTCTACAGATTCAACATTGTCGGTGAGAAGTTTGATCTGCTTTTCACAGCTACCAAGACCATTCAACATCTTTGTTGAAAAGCTTTTGAAGCATTGGCCGAAGTGCGCTTTCATAGTAGCGACAACTTAGCAGAGGCAGAGGCTGAGCAGAGGCAGAGGCTGTGCAGGTGGCAGAGGCAGAGGCTGTGCAGGTTCTCTTACGACTTGATTCATCTGAGGGAAGGCTCCTTTTTCCTGCTTCTGCCTTGACGATATGTGCACCCAGAACACCTTCCGAAGGCCATTGGTTTTTTGAGAACTTAAATTGGGGATCATGGATGCATTGACAATCTAGACAATATCCGGATCCTGTTGCTCATCATCCCAAACTGGAAACATATCCGCCAAGTCCTTAGCCACGCAGCACTGTATGCGAGCCTGGAAAAACACAATTCGTAAAAGAATTACTATATAATAATCTACTTTGGAAGTCTACCACTGAAGTCTTCTTTTAACAAGATTATTATATAGAAGTCTACTGATAGATAAGAGTTTTATAGGACTCAGGGCTATCAATCCCCTTTGTCGAAGTAGCACAAAGAGGTATCAATCCAGACAAGTCAACGAGACACTAGACTATGATGTTTGTTCATTTAAGTCAAGACAAAAGGTGAAGGTTTTGAACTAAGCTAAGTAACAAACGATTAAGCATGAAAGGTAAAGCAAATGATTAGATCTAAACAGAGACAGGATGCAAATAATAACTGAACGATTCAGATGATGATAATATGTAATAAAGCAAGGAACTTTAGACGAGATACTTGACTCGGATGCTTCCAAGTTCAACTAGTTGGTTAATGTATCAAAACATCAAGCAGTTTCATTTAACTTTGAACTCAAGGCATGTTAATCTTCTCATGAAAGTATTAAGCATCTAAACTGATCCTCCTTCATACCAAAAATGTCTTTTGAGAAGCATCGAATCAATCAGCAATAAGAATCAGTTCAAAAATGTCATTTAAGAGAACGAACTATCACTCTCGTGATGAAAGACTCTTAAACCCATAACCGAGTGGTTCAGACATTTCTACGAACACTTTTGATGCGAGATATGTCTCAGATCTGAACCTCAAGTGATGTGCTTGGATCCAGCCTAGAGATCTCGTCGGTTAAAGAATGAAACATGCAAGACTAGACACCTAAACCCACTAATCTACCTTGAAAGCACCCTAATCTACTCGTCTAAAGCCGCTTAAACGACTACTCACTAATCATAACGAGCTCACTAAGTCCTTTGCAAGACGTGTAGCTGGTCATGATGAGGAGTTTAATGTTAGATGATCAAAGAAATAAAGAAAGAACAAGATTTCTCATGCAAAAGCGAGATATCGGATTAGAATCATCCAGTTTCACCAAAGAGGCAAGTTCTTGAAGCTAAAAACAGATAAGAGATAAGATGATTAGGTTTTTAGTCTCAAAATGTATATATAGCAAAGGTAAAGTGTCGCGGGTCAGCCCGGAACAAACCGGGTACTGAACCGCGTTCTTGGGCTGATGGGTGAGTGCCACGGTGTGTCGGAGAGTGAAGCCGAGGTCTTCATGTCGAGGAGCGCACGTGAGTCCAGATCCAAATGAAGATCTCGTGAAGAACACGGCAAGAACATGCATGAACCCTAGTCTTTGATCCATCTTCACGTGTGTGTTTTTGAGCAGCTTTGTTCTTGATTCTGGGCTTGTGACAATGGACCTCGGGATAAAATGCCGAGGCGCTTGGACGTCGAGGGGTTCGGGAGAATAGGGTCCGGCATGCACGCCGAGGTCGCTACACCGAGGTGCATGTTCAACACTTAGTCGTTTCCAGCTCCTTTCTTACGTGTGCATGCCTTGATCCCAACGTGCCGAGGTATCTATACGAGGCCTAGCTCAGGATACTTCCAAAATATGAGCCTTGACTTGGCTGATGTCGAGGTAATGATGCCGAGCCCTGAAGAAACACTTAGCGCGTATCGCAACATATTTGGGCCCGTATCGACCATGTCGCCTTCCGGCGGCAGTAACTTTCGACCCACGACTCCGAATGCTCTGAGACCAGTTTCATAGTCAAGGTGACTCAATAAACTCGAACTTTGGTGAAGAAAACGTCGGAGCTTGGGAAGTGGAAGGCTTCCTGGATTTCATATCTTTGAACCGCATTGGAATCACCGGGAAATAAGCTGTTTGGACCGGTGTGAACTCCGGAGACTTTATCTTTCAAACCACTCGTCCGAATTTAGCGATCACAACCGTTCTGAAAAGGTCTTTCAAAGCTCTCAAACTTTGATGAAGACCGGGCAAGCTGGTTCGGTCCGGAAAGGTTCCGTCCGCCGTGATCTTTGTACTCCACCGTTCGGTTCTCGGATGCGCGTAATGTTGGTGCATCTTCCGGAAGCTGTATCTTTCTCCCCACTGGTCCGAATTGGATGATTCCAACTGTTCTGGGATCTTTGTTTGATTATCTCCAACTTTGCTGAAGACCCCGCCAACTGGTTCGGACCGTTTTCTTCAAGCGGTTTTCACCATTTTTGACCCTTTTCTTCACCGTCTTCTTCTCTGCTCCTCTTCTTAGGCTCCAAATGACTCCCCAAGCACCTGATAAAGACTTCAAAACATGCAAAACTCTTTGGGACCTAATGCAAGCCCTAAATCCTATTTTTATGCCTAAAGACTCAATTTACATGGGGAAAACACATAATGAGGACTCTAAAATGCACTCTAAATGATGTAAAATATAGACATATCAACTCCCCCACACTTGTCCTTTGCTTGTCCTCAAGCGAAGAGAACAAATGGGAAGAAGAGGTTGTAATGCAGATGGAGCTCATATTTCCTTTTTAGAAAGAAGTGATCACAAGGAGAACTCGGATTCATGCTCAAATATGCAACGTAAAGCCATACTCAGATATTCTATAATTAAAGCACAGAATCTCCACAAGTCATTATCACATTCAACTCTTTCACATTCATTAAGCTCGTAACCGGTGAATCAAATGATGCAATGTTCAAATAGGCTGGCTTGGCTAGGGTAAGGTCATGAGATAAAAATGATCTCATCAATATTCAAGCGGGTGTAATGCAACAATGGGATCACTCAATGAACGACCAAACTTTGGCAGAATGCTAAAGGTAAAAAGCAACCGATGCATACAAGGGCAAGACTCATCACACCCCACACTCCACTCAAAGCTTTTCTTACTTGCTCACCCTCTCAAGATCCTCACTCTCTCAATCGCTTTCTTTTTCACTAGGGGACTCACTTTTGTTTTGATTTTCAAGCCTTTGGTGTTTACTTATTCAAACAGCTCTTTTCTTTTCTTTCTAGAACACTTGAGCCTTTTTGTCTTCTTTTCATTTCAAAGACTATACTTTTCTTTTTAGAACAACAGAGCTCTTCTTTTCAAATTCAAGACTCGATTCTTTTTCTTTCATTCCCCTAGCTATCTCCATTCTCTCTTTTCTCTCAGCTCACCTTTTTCCACTCACCAATAGATCTTTTCCCCCACACTTATTTCTTGCCAATACTCTCAGTTCCTTGATGTTGGAACGTAGCACTCAATGAGACATGCCCTTGTCGCTCTAAACCTAACACTTTCTGCTAAGTTCGGTCCAAGGTGGCCTTACAATTCACACACAAACATTGGCTCGAAAAGAAAGTTGGGTTCAAGGTGAGGGAACTGATCCATGATGCGGATTCAGCTACTTGAGCAAGGGAAAAGAGGGTGGTAAAAACAATGATTCTAGCTCAAGTATGGATATCGGTATCCACAAGCCAATTCAAGCAATGCATCAAAAGATATTTATAATTCAAGTTCAGGGTTATCACTTAGTTAGAGTTGAGTGTAATTTAGACTTGCTTCTCAGATTCAAATCGTTTCAAGCTTTACAAGCACAGAATGAGTTTCACAAGCATATTTAGTTCAAGTTCTCGAGTGATTTACTCTCTAGGAAAAAATCTATCATTGCTCCTTGCACTGATGCAATCCTACATGATGCAACTTAGACTCGATCTTAAAATGCGAGATGCAACTAGAATGATGCGGTTTTACCATATGTACAAAGCTAGATGAGACTCAAGAATGCAAAAGTCAAATAAGAACAAAGAAAACAAGATCAGAAAACACAAAGCTCCTCCCCCACACTTAAACAACACAGTCCCGTGTGTTATAGAAGCGTGTGAGAGAAGTAAAAAGACGAACTAAACGAATGCAGAATGATATACACAAGATGCATATGTACAGGGTTTGAAGTCGATACCTTAGTCGGAGAGGTCTGATCCCAAGTAGTACGAGGGATTTGATGTTGAGCAGGAGGGTGTGGACTGACGTGGCGGGCTGCTATCCGAGGGTTCAGGTAAGAATGCCAAGGCAGGGTTGATCCAATCCTCTTTGCCTGGTGGAAACTCCGGGTTCCTTGCGTTTGAGCTTTCCCCAACCTCCTCCTGTGTAACTGGTGCGGTTGAGGTCCCCGAGTTCATGTCCGGAGAAGATGGCCGTGTCAGCTGCTTGACCTTCTTCTTCAGGTGCCTTACACAGTCCACCAACGCATGAATGGTCTTGTCTTGCCACTTACACCACTTTTGGAGAGTGTTCACTCGCAAATACAGCTTCTTGGTGTGGTATTCAGGCTCACCCCACACGTATGGATCAA